TTTTTTACAAAGCGGAGGTTTGTGGTAACCCTGTATCAAAGATGACTATCAGTGTCATTTTTCCAAAAGCATGTGCTCGCTTCTTGTCTCTGTGTCACATTTTGGTAATTTTCATAATATTTCCATTTTTCTATTACAATTATATCTATTAATGGTAATTTTGTGATCAGTGATCTTCAATGTTACTATCATATTTGTTTTTAGGTACCATAAACTACACTCATATAAGACAGCAATCTTAATCAATAAATGGCGTATGTGTTCTGACCGCTCTACTAACCAGCCATTCCCCACCCTCTCCTCATACCTCCCTATTCCCTGAGACATAATATTGACATCAGGCCAATTAATAACCCTACAATGACTTCTAAGTCTAAGTGTTAAAGTGAAAGAAAGACTCATACCTTCCCACTTTAAATCAAAAGCTAGAAATGATTAAGCTTAGTGAGGAAGGCATGTCAAAATCCAAGACAGGCTGAAAGCTAGGAATATTTTGTCAAATGGTAGCCAAGATGTTAATGCAAAGGAAAAGTTCTTGAAGGAAATTAGGGCAGGTGTGGTGGCTCAAGCCTGTAATCCCAGCACTTTGGGAGGCTAAGGCAGGAGAATGCCAGCACTTTGGGAGGCTAAGATGGGAGGCAAGGAGTTTGAGTCTAGCCTGTGTGATAGGCTTGAGACTCTATCTCAAAAAATAATAATAATAACTAAAAGTACTACTCCAGTGAACACACAAATTATAAGAACATGGAACAGCCTTATTACTGATACGAAGAAAGTTGTAGAGTGTAGGTAGAAGATCAAACCAGCAACATTCCCTGAATTAGGCCAAAGCTTAATTCAGAGTAAGACTCTAACTCTTAAATTCTGTGAAGGCTGAGAGAGGTGAAGAAGCTGCAGAAGAAAAGTTGGAAGCTAGCAGATTGGTTCATGAGTTTTAAAAAAGAAGTCTTCTTTGTAACATACCAGTGCAAGGTAAAGCAACAGTGCTGATGTAAAAGCTGCAACAAGCTATCCAGAAGATCTAGCTAAAATCATTGATGAAGATGACTATACTAAACATCAGATTTCTAACGTACAGAAAACAGCCTTCTATCGGAAGATGATTCCTACAGAGGTGAATTAAAGCCTGGCTTCAGAGCTTCCAAGAGCAGACTGACTCTTGTTAGGGATCACCATAGGTGGTCATTTAAGTTAAAGCCAGTGCTTATTTACCATTCCAAAAATCCTACCAACTTGAAAAAATCACGCTAATCTATTCTGCCTGTGCTTTTTTTTTTTTTTTAGACGGTGTTTCGCTCTTGTTGTCCAGGCTGGAGGGCAATGGCTCAATCTCGGCTCACTGCAACATCCGCCTTGTGGGTTCAAGCAATTCTCCTGCCTCAGCCTCCCGAGTAGCTGGGACTACAGGTGTGCGCCACCACGCCCAGCTAATTTTTGTATTTTTAGTAGAGACAGGGTTTCACCATGTTGACCAGGATGGTCCTGATCTCTTGACCTCGTGATCCACCCGTTTCAGCCTCCCAAACTGCTGGGATTATAGGTGTGAGCCACCATCCCTGGCCCTGCCTGTGCTTTATTAATGAAACAACAAAGCCTGGATGACAGTATATCTCTTTATGGCATATTTACAGAGTATTTTAAGCCTGTGTATAGACCTACTGCTCAGAAAAAAAAATACTTTCAAAATATTATTGTTCATTGACAGTGCACTTGGTCAACCAAGAGCTCTGATGATTATGTACCAGGAGATTGATACTGTTTTCATGCCTGCTAACACAGCATCCATTCTGCATGAGTCAATGAAGACTTTTGGCTTTCAAGTTTTATTATTTAAGAACTATATTTCAGCCAGGAGCAGTAGCTCATGCCTGTAATCCCAACACTTTCGGAGGCCGAGGTGGGTGGATCACTTGAGGTCAGGAGTTTCAGACCAGCCTGGACAACATGGTGAAACCCCATCTCTACCAAAAATACAAAAATAAGCTGGGTGTGATGGTGCATTGCCTATAATCCCAGCTACTCAGAAGGCTGATGCAAGAGAATCGCTTGAACCTGGGAGGCAGAGGTTGCAGTGATCTGAGGTTGTGCCACTGTACTCCAGCCTGGTAAGCAGAGCAAGACTCCATCTCAAGAAAAAAAAAAAAGAAAGAAAGAAAGAAATTTCATAAGACTGTGCTGCCATATATAGTGATTCTTCTAACGGATCTAGGCAAAGTAAATTGAAAACTTTCTGAGAAAAATTAACCATTCTAGATGCCAGTGAGAACATATGTGACTCATGGGAAGAGAGCAAAATGTCAGCTTTTTTTTTTTAAAGAGATAAGATCTTGAGGCAGAGGTGGACAGATCACTTGAAGTCAGAAGTTCGAGACCAGCCTAGCCAACATGGTGAAAAAGTCTCTATTAAACATACAAAAATTAGCCTGGCGTGATGGCACATGCCTGTAGTCCCAGTGACTTGGGAGGCTGAGGCAGGAGAATGGTTTGATCCTGGGAGGTGGAGGTTGCAGTGAGCCAAGTTTTGCCATTGCACTGCAACCTGGGTGACAGAGTGAGACTCTGTCTCAAAAAAAAAAAAAGAGAGAGAGAGAGAGGGTCTTGCTTTGTGGCCCAGGTTGAACTGCAGTGGCATGATCATGGCTCACTATAGCCTGAAACTCCTGGACTCAAGCAATTCTCCTTCCTCAGCCTCCCCAGTCGCTAGGATTGCAGGAACATATCACATTACCACACCTGGCTAATTGTTTTTTAATTTTTTTTAGAGACAAACTCATATATTGCCCAGGCTGGTCTCAAACTCCTGGGCTCAAGTGATCCTCCCGTCTTAGCTGAGATTACAGGCATGAGTCACTGCACCCAGCTAAAATGTCAACATTAACAGGAGTTGGAAACAAGTTGGTACCAACCCTCATAGATGACTTTCAGAGGTTTAATTCTTCAGTTGAGAATTAATTCCTTAATTTCTACTGCAGAGGTGGTAGAAACAGCAAGGGGACTAGAATTAGAAGTGATGCCTGAGCGCCAGGCCTCCTGAGGCCTCATGGGCCTCGCACCTGCGGCTGTGGCTGCAGCGTGCTGCACACCAAAGGAGATAAAGCTTTTGTTGATTTCCTGAGTGATCAAATTAAGGAGGAAAGAAAAATCCAGAAGCATAAAACCCCCCCTAAGACGTCTGGAGGTTGGGAGCTGGAACTGAATGGGACAGAAGCTAAATTAGCGCGGAAAGCTGCCAGGGGTAAAATCACTGTCACTTTCAACATTAACAACAGGATCCCACCAACATTTGATGGTGAGGAGGAATCCTCGCAAGTACAGAAGGTTGTAGAACAGGAGACTGAATTGACATCAACTCTCAATTTCATGGCTGAAGTTATAAAAAATGATGGCAAGAAGGCCCTTGTGCTGGACTGTCATTATCCAGATGAGGTTGGACAAGAGGATGAGGCTGAGAGTGACATCTTCTCTATCAGGGAAATTAGCTTTCAGTCCACAGTGACTCTGAATGGAAGGTTACTAATTATACACTCAACACAGATTCCCTGGACTGGGCCTTATATGGCCACCTAATGGATTTCCTGCGGACCGAGGGCTAGACAATACTTTTACAGATGAGTTGGTGGAGCTCAGCACAGCCCTGGAGCACCAGGAGTACATTACTTTTCTTGAAAACCTCAAAAGTTTTGTCAAGAGCCAGTAGAGCAGACAGACACTGAAAGTCATAGTTTTATGGCAGGCTTTGGCCATTGAACAAATCCTGACTCTGAAGCTAGACACATGCTTTGAAATGATTATCATTCTAATATCATGGGGAAAAAATACCAAATTTAAATATGTTTTACACTCATTTATTACCATTTTTTTCTATACAAATCTATTATTTGTAGATTTTTGTATAACATAATAGACAATAAAATTGGTTTATCTCCTCCAAAAAAAAGTGATGCCTAAAGATGTGACTGAACTGTTTCAGTCTCATCATAAGACTTAAACAAATGAGGAGTTTCTTCTTATGAATAAGCAAAGAAGGTGATTTCCTTTTTTTTTTCTTTAATTTTATGTTAGGTTCTGGGATACATGTGCAGAACATACAGATTCATCACCTAGGTATTAAGCCCCTCATGCATTAGCTATTTGTCCTGATGCTCTCTCTGCCCCCCAGCAGGTCCCAGTGTGTGTTGTTCCCCTCCCTGTGTCCATGTGTTCTCATTGTTCAGCTAACACTTATGACTGGGAACATGAGGTGTTTGGTTTTTTGTTGCTATATGTTAGTTTGCTGAGGATGATAGCTCCCAGCTTCAACCATGTCCCTGCAAAGGACATGAACTCATTCCTTTTTATGGCTGCATAGCATTCCATAATGTGTCTGTACCACACTTTTTAAAATTCAGTCTATTATTGGTGGGCGTTAGGGTTGATTCCATGTCTTTGTTATTATGAATCATGCTGCAATAAACATACATGTGCATGTATATTTATAATAGAATGATTTATATTCCTTGGGGTATATACCCAGCAATGGGACTTCTGGGTCAAATGGTATTTCTGGTTCTAGATCCTTGAGGAATTACCACACTGCCTTCTACAGTGGATATTTACATTCCCACCAACAGTGTAATAGCATTCCTATTTCTCCACAGCCTTGCTGGCATTTCTTGTTTCTTGGCTTTTTAATAATCGCCATTCTGACTGGTGTGAGATGGTATTTCATTGTGGTTTTGATTTGTAATTCTCTAATGATCAGTGATTTGAACTTTTTTTCATATGTTTGTTGGCTACATAAAATGTCTTCTTTTGAGAAGTGTCTGTTCATATTCTTTGCCCACTTTTTGATGGGGGTTTTTTTCTTGTAAATTTGTTTCTTGTAGATACTGGATATTAGACCTTTGTCAAATGGGTAGATTGGAAAAATTTTCTCCCATTCTGTAGGTTGCCTATTTGCTCTGATGGTAGTTTCTTTTGCTGTGCAGAAGCGCTTTAGTTTAATTAGATCCCATTTATCAAAAAATATGGAACACTTCACAAATTTGCTTATCATCCTTGCTCAGGGACCATGCTAATCTTCTCTATATCATTCCAGTTTTAGTATATGTGCTGCTGAAGCGAACAAGAAACTGTTTTTTTGAGATGGAATCTGCTCCTGGTGAAGATGCTGTGAACACTGTCGAAATGACAAGAATTTAAAACTTATTTATTTTATTTTGTTTTTTGACGTAGGGTCTCACATTGTTGCCCAGGCTGGAATGCAGTGGCATGATCACAGCTCACTGCAGCCTTGGCCTTCCAGGCTCAAGCAATCCTCCCACCTCAGCCTCCCACATAGCTGGCACTATATGTGTGCACCACCACACCCAGCTAGTTTTTGTGTTTTTTGTAGAGACAGAGTCTTGCTCTGTTGCCCAGGCTGAAGTGCAGTGGCATGCTCACAGCCCACTGCAGCCTCAACCTCTTGAGCGTCAGCAATCTTCCCACCTCGTCCTCCTTAGTAGCTGGAACTGCAGGCGTGTGCCACTATATCCAGCTATATTTTTGTATTTTTTGTAAAGATGGGGTTTTACCACATTACCCAGTTTGATCTCAAACTCCTAGGCTCAAGTGATCCTCCTGCCTTAGCTTCCCAAAGTGCTGGGATTACAGGCATGAGCCACTGCCCAGAGCCTTATTGCATACTTAATAGACTACAGAATAGTGTAAACATAACTTTTATATGCATTGGGAAATCCAAATATTTGTGTGACTTACTGTATTGCAATGTTTGGAGCTCAACCTGCAAAGTCTCCACGGTATACCTATACGACATTCTGGAAAATTAAACAAGGAAGACAGTAAGAACATCAGTGGTTGCCAAGGGTTGGTAGGGAAAGGAATGAATAGGCAGAGCAAAAACAATTTTTATGCCAGTGAAACTACTCCATATGCTACTATAATGGTAGATTATAATTTGTCTACGCCCATGACTATACAACACCAAGAGGGAACCCTAATATAAACTACAGACTTTGGGTGATTATGATTATGATGGTTCATGTATTGCAACGAATGTACCACTCTGGCAGAAGATGCTGAAAAGGGGGGAAGCTATGCATGTGGTGGGGAAGGGCATATACAGGAAATCTCACTGCTTTCTGTTTAATTCTGCTGTGAGCCCAAAACTGCTCTTAAAGTCTTCTAAAAAATAAATAAAATACATATATATATAAATACATAAAGTGTTCTCAAAGTCCAACCTCTTTACCCCAGATCTAAAAACATTTAAGAATGTATTATATATTATATTTCTTTATAGACTTTTTTTTTTTTGAGACAGAGTCTCACTCTGTTGCCAGGCAGGAGGAAAGTGGCACGATCTCGGCTCACTGCAACCTCCGCCTCCCAGGTGCAAGTGATTCTCCTGCCTCAGCCTTCCAAGTAGCTGGGACCACGGGTGCACACCATCACGCCCAGCTAACTTTTGTATTTTTAGTACAGACGGGGTTTCACAATGTTGGCCAGAATGGTCTCCATCTCTTGACCTCGTGATCTGCCCACCTCTGCCTACCAAAGTGTTGGGATTACAGGCATGAGCCACCTCACATGGCCTCTTTATAGACATTTTGATGTATAAATAAATACGTAATTTTTGGCCATACACAGATGTCTCACACTTATAATCCCAGCACTTTGGGAAGCCAAGATGGGTGGATCACTTGAGGCCAGGAGTTCAAGACCAGCCTGGCCAACATGAAGAAACCCTGTCTCTACTAAAAATACAAAAATTAGCTGAGTATGGTAGTGCACACCTGTAATCCCAGCTGCTCCAAAAGCTGAGGCAAAGAATGGCTTGAACCTGGGAGGCAGAAGTTGCAGTGAGTCAAGATCACACCACAACACTCCAGCCTGGGTGACAAGAGCAAGACTCTGTCTCAAAACAAAAACAAAAAAAAACCATACTTCTGTTTTTTACAGATGGGGGGTGGTCTTACTGTTACCTAAGCTGGCCTCAAATGCCTGGCCTCAAGTGATTCTTCCATCTCAGTCTCCCAAGTAACTGGGACTACAGGCATGAGCCACCGTACCCAGCTATTTGTTTTAAATAATGAGCATTTATTTATCTATCATTGTATTTATTCACATGTACACACATACACATTAGTAGCAGACACTGTTAGTTGTTTATCCATTCCCTACCCCACCCTTGCTGATAAACCCTGACTTGTTTGTAGCAGTAATAGGTACAACTCCAGAAGACGCACGTTTGACTCGTGACTACCCTGTTTCCTGCTATCAGCTACTGACTCTCCCAGGCTCCCTTGTAGCCAGGGTTGGCTATGTGAACAGTTCTGAACAATGAAATGTAAGGGCACATTTACTGAGATAAGAATAAAAAGAGTCTTGATCCTCGATGACACATTTAGTTGCTAACCCTTTCCTGAACTACCTACCACCTCTGATCTCCGTGCGGTAAGCAATGGCCCTAGAGTTTAAGCCTGTGCTCGCTGTGTTTTCTGTTACTTGAAGCCAGCAGCATGCTAGTAAACCAGCTCTGGGGGAGGAAAAAATTTCCCCTGATTTGTAGTCTTTGCTGACTTCCTTGATGAAAATATTTTAAATACTCTCACTATGACCAATTTTTAAACAACCAGCATGAAGCCTGACTGCAGTTGTGAAGAAATGAGCACATGTGGCTCTCAAGGGCCCTGTGCTCTCTCAAGCCCGTGTGAACCAGCTCTAGCACATCACTGCCTGAAGCCAAACAGATGGTAACATATGCATTGTAATTCTATACTTTTTCTTTACTTAGTAAGCGTAGACATTTCTATGTCAATAAGAAAAAAATATTCCTTTTTATGGCGGCATTATGATCTATTTTATAAATGCCCATAATTTATCCAGTCATTCAGATGTTTATTAACTTATTCCTTTTATTTAAAAAATAAAACACTGTCTATGTATATTTCATGTATTTGTCTTTTAAAGTGATAGTAAAGAGCAGGCATGGTGGCTCATGCCTGTAATTCCATCACTTTAGGAAGCTGAGCAGGGGGGATCACTTGAGGCTAGAAGTTCAAGACTAGCCTGGGCAATATAGAGAAATCCCATCTCTACAAATAATACAAAAATTAACCCGGCATGGTAGCACATGCCTGTAGTCCCAGCTATTTGGGAGGGTGAGTTGGGGGATCACTGGAACCCAGGTTGAGGCTACAGTGAGCCATGATCGACCCACTGAACTACAGTGTAGGTGCCAGAGTGACACCCTGTCTCAAAAAAAAAAAAAAAACCGCTTTAAAACAATTCCCTTGCTGTGTCCACCAATATCAAACTACTGTATAATATACTGTGCCCAATCCCAATCATATTCCTAACATTCTCTGAAAGCATTTAGCCCAAGCTCTAAAACCTTACAAATAATTGGTTCTAATTTTCTATTTTGAGGCACTGTTAAGGCTCAGTCAAAGTGGTATACTTTCTTACTGCAGTAAAATAGAATACACTTAACTTTGCTTAATCAACAGTTTCTAATCAATGAGCTTTTGAGGAGTTATTATTTGACAACATATTTTAATTACTTAAACATACCACCAAGTTACCTTCCAGGAAGATTGTATCAACTTAAACAAATAATAACATTGGGTGAAAGTGTCTACTTCCTTCTGCACTAGATATTTAATCAGATAAATGTAAACTAAAAGGACAATAGAATATCGATATATCACTTTTTGCCTATCAAATTCCAATCTGATAGGCAAAAAATTATATATCGTTATTCTATTGTCCTTTTAGTTTACATTTATCTGATTATTAATGAAGTTTAGTAACATTTAGCAATGACACTTTTATGTAACTGGAAGCATGAAATCACCTCTATACCACCACTGCCATCGCAAATGAGAGAAAATAATTGTGCTAAGCCTAAGACGTTAACTTACAACCTTACAATGAATAATTGAAATGCTCTAGCCAAGATTCTCTAGGTAAGATAGCATCCTCTAAATAAGCCTATTGTTAAGAAATGAGCCTATTTATCATTACTCCTTGCAGGTCTAAACAGAGCACAATTTGAAAGCAAAAATTAAGGAGTAGGAGTGAGGGCAATGGTGAAAGAAAGACATTAAAATCAGTGTGTGTAACAATGTAATTACTCCAATATAATTAGTGGTGTTCTTGCAAATTATAGGCAATAGGAAAGTGTTTCTCTTCCTACTTATAAGTTTAGACTAACATTTTCCAGTATTTATCCTCAAGTGATATAAATGTATGTATTTCTAATCCAATAGTTACTTACTCAATAGACTTCCAAACAAAATTAAAAGGTGCAGTTATCTCTGGTGGGAAGATCTGAAAAAGGTCCAAATTTGCTATTGGCCCACATGGGACTGCAATAGGCCTTCAGCTCCCAAAGCTCATCTTAGACTTCCTTGTTGCTGCTCTGAGCTATTGTTCTTAAAGAAATGACCCAAATTTAGAGAACCATACTCCTGGAGAGGAGAACGTCCCCTATAATGAGACCAGCCCTGGTGGTTAGAATGTGGGATTTCCTCCCCCAAAAAGGAAGCATTGTTACAGAAAGGAGGGGAGACCTAAGGACTGAAGAGAAAAGTTAAGAACCAAGTGAGTCTATAGTGGAGCCCTGGGCAGTGTATAACTTCTTGAGACCCTTTGCTTCCAACCTTGCGAAAAGTCACATCTGGTCTATAGCTTCACATGCTATAAACTCCTCTTTAGAGCAACTAACAGCTTTATAGCTGGAGCCCTAGATGGAAGCGAGGGCCAATTTATGAAGCAAGCTAAGCCTGCCTCATGTTACCTTCTTTTAGTCTATAGAAGCTCTTGTGGAGTTGTCGACATTGATATAAGAGGACATAGCAGTTAGTGAGTTTTAGATGGTAACCAGCGCAACCAAAGAAATGCAGAAGGATTGAGGGACCACTGACAGAGAAGTGGTGGTCAACTTGGAAGCAGCTATGAGAGAAATTCCTCTCCTTTTAAAACACCTACTTGGGCTCTGCACGGTGGCTCACACATGAAATTCTCGCACTCTAGGAGGCCAAGAAGGGCAGATCACTTGAGCCCAGGAGTTCAAGACCAGCATGGCCAAAGCCCTCATCTCTACTAAAAATACAAAAAT